GAGAGAGAAGAGAGAGAGAGAGAGAGAGAGAGAGAGAAAGAGAATGCAGCCGGTTGGAAAATTTACCGCTCTCCCGCGGAACATAGTGATTGTGCACCCTTCTTCTTCGTGACTAACTTCGTTGTCACATTAGAGATTTCGTCCAATCCCGTGACGGATTCGATCGGATTTCATCGAGGAAAATTGCCGAATTAAAACCGATTCTGGAAGATTGCACTGATAACAATGTTGGGAACAATGGGACGAAAAAGGTGTTTCAAGAAAAACGAGGGAAAGTATGCTTGTATGAAATAGATCGAATCGATCGATTCAATAGAAATAATTTTGGAATTAGTGAGATTTGTTGAAGATTGGAAGGATCGTTGGAAAAATTTGGTGTACACGTTAAAAGTAAATTGCAACTGTTGAAAATCGATAATTAGTCGCGCGTTTCCCTCGTTAGGCATTGATTACGAGCAGTTTATCTACTTTGAAATCCGTATTGGACAGGGAGAGCCGAGGGATCGTGTCTAATTCATGGGAGCATAATCCCGTGGAGCGAGGCAACGAAGCAGTGGCGGCTGTCGGGAACATATTTGCCGACAACGAAATTGCAAACGAGCCTTAAAGCGGGCCAGACGGGACGGATCATCCGGACGGTTTAATTCGAAACTGCAATTCGGGCTTTGGCCCCGACGTTAAAGTGGATAACGCACGGCGCTCGATCCCATCGAATTCTCGGGACACGTGCACCGCCGTTTACACGCGACACTGAGCCGACGAAACAAAATCGGCCGTGCGCGTGTTACGAGCGGGGGGACACGGGGAAATCGCGTTTGTACCAGGGATCCGTTTGTACGAATTTGCGAATTTAACGATCGAAAACGATCGCCTACTCTAGTGTAGGGAGAATCGTCGAAAATATTCGGGAATCGTGTGAGAATCGTGCAACTTTTCATTTTTTTTTGAAAGAATTTGTTTAGTCGTTTCTTTGGTGAAAAAGAAAATTCTGAGCTTCGAATCGATAGGAAATAACAGCGAATCGAATAAAATTGTTTAAGCAACGCGAACAATGATCTTGGGTGATAGATAGATACTACGTGGTTTGAATTGTACGTTTCGTTTGGAGCGATTTCAATTGTTGAAAATTCCTTTTTTTAACATTATATTTCCTTTCAGCGTGTTAATTACAAACGATCAATAAAAGACAATTTTTCCCTTGATGATTAAAAAGTTCTGAAAGAGTTAACAAAATCCAATACTAATTTCGGAAGGAAAAATTTATCGATACGATAAAACTTCTCGAACGAAAAACAAAAAAAAAGAAATCCAATTTCTTTTCTATTTCATAAATCCAATGAAATTATAATTGTAAAGCATCGTTCGAAAAATCGAGCGATCGTAACAACTTTATTCCGTTCGTGACGCGGTTATCACGCGCCATGGAAAGATATTGGCTTTCTCTCGAGAGATGAATAAAAAAATCGAAGAGCACAAATCGGGCGGTATAAAGAAAAATGAGACGAATTCGGGAACAATGTATAAATTTAACCCGGGTGCATTGCACGTTCGTTGGGGATGAACGGTCGCGAATCGCGCGAGATTCGAACGAGTTCCGGTTTAATCCTGCGCTGCATCCGGATCTCACATCGAAATGCACTCGTGGATACGGCCAAGTGGTTACAACGGATCAACGCGGCCCAGGAGAAACCCTGGGCCGACACGGGAAATAAATCTGAATGGCCGATGAATGAACGCGGGACACGGTGAATTTCCGGTTATCCATAGTGCGATTTAACTGTGGAATTTTATGCCGAATATATTTTGATTGCTCGAAAATGAACGAAACGGCGATTATGAATATGAGGAAAGAAGATGAGGCCGGAAATGAATAGAAATGTATAGATGACGATAACACGAGAAAAAAAATCGCTATTTGAATTTGTTCGTTTGAAATATGTGGAAGACAAAAATTAATTTTTGAGGCTTGAAAACTTGTAACTTTTAATTTATAATTTACGAAAATTGATCGTTTGATTGTTTCTTGTTGAAATTTTTTTCTTTTTTTTTTGATCAAATTATCATATATCATTTAAAATTTTTCTTTTACATTATATTAGTGGTTTAAAGAAAAATATTATTTCATATAATTATTTCATAAGCTGCAGGTAATATAAATGACGAATATTATTTTTTATAACGCATTTTAAATGGCACAGAATCCTTGTTCCCCGTGAATTTCCATAGAAATGTCTATTCGAATATAATTGGTAACACGCCAAGCTCGAGACTTCCCCTCCTTCTCAAAAAAAAAAAAAATAAAAATAAAAAATTCTCTCCAACCCCTTTCACGTTAATTAATTCCCATATTCCCATGCGCGAGTATTTCGAAATTGCGCTCGAAGCCGTCAGCGCAAATCCCAGCTGAGCGGATTTTTCAGGATCCGGTCGACGTCATCGGATATTCTCGTTCGAAGTTTAAAAATAATTCCGTCCAAGCGGTTTTAATGCGCGATGCTTGAATATATTATCTCGTTTTTTTCTCCCGTGGATATAAGAAAGGGGAATTTTAGAACTTGGACTGCATAATTTATGTCATAGTAAAATCATCATTTATCGTAACAGAAGTTAGAATCGATGAAATTTAAAAATTATGAAACGAGAGATTAATTCCATTTTTAACGTTTTATGTAAAATGTCGTGTAATAAATAAATAGGTGTATGTATAATTATATTTCGATCAAATTACCAGTTAATGACAAAAATATATAAAATTTTTTTTAGAATTTTTCTAAATCTTAAAACAATTGAAAGAAAAAGAAGAAAAAAAGGAAATTCGAAAAAAAGGATGATTGTATCTAAAAACCTCGAAGATGATAAATTAGATCCTGCAAACAGGAGCAAAATACTTTCAAAATTCAATGGATAAAACGAGACCTAATATGTATTCCACAGGGATGCAAAAAAATCGTAGCGGACATGCGTTAAAAAATCCGATAAATTACACTCGCCTCGCTAGTCGTAAGCGTGTGCTGTTTCAAACCTGTGAATAACCAACCTCGTTCACCGCGAAAATGCTGCTTTATAAGATTAACGTAAAATCCAGCAGCCGGTTTGATCTCAGGATGGAAAATCGCTCGGCCTTCTTTGTTCAACCCTTTCTCTCGAAGCGAATCGGATTTTCTCACGGACTTTCGACTCTGAG